ATACGCATAACTTCAAGCTGCACATATCATGTGTGCTCGTGTTTGCAATACAATATCACTGCTTTCTGTCAGACACATGTTTGTCCCCGCATCCGAGTTGCTTCGAATTAAGGACACGATAGCATACTTGTGTTCCACCTGGGCATGCTTAGCCGCCTTAGCAAGCATTATTGCGAAACTATGAAATTACATCTATTTATACGATACCTCTCCCTTTCATGTGTGATCGCGTAGTAGAGTGCAGGTGGTAAACTGTCGCCTTTTGGTCCTTACCTCCTGCAGTAGGAGCAAGTAACACTATGATACATTTCATATCGTCTCCTAGAAACTGTTAGTGTGATTGACCATAATGTTCGTGCCACTGCATTAATTCCCTCGTGGGTGAGTGTTTAGCCTGTGTGACTTGCCTTTCGGCCTCTAATGCTTGCTAGCACGGGAAAGTGCATCCGCGCTCCGGTGAGTACCAGTGACCAGTACGCGTTTCACCAGGACTGTGAGTCTGGTAAGCTAGCCGAGCAATTCACTGAGCAATCGCCGCGCACTGTCGTCCACGATACGATGATATTCGTTGACACCTACCGGAGCAATGGGAGCCACTACACGTTCAACGGTGAGGCCGGGAGATTCGCCAGTGAGTACCCTAGATGTGGGCGACGGTAACAATGATAACGACAACGAAGACGACGGCAACAACAAGGACGATGACGTCGCCGCTGCCAATACTGACAGCACCAAAAACGACAATATGCTAACCCGAATGCTGCTCTCTCCCAAGCAGTACCAGACCATGACCAACATCCTGCCCACACCAGGCGGCAGGCGCGGGTGGCAGCCAGCCACCGCTACCAGCTGCAGTCTGATATCAGCCATTTCACGCAACAACGTCCGCCGGTCGTTCCCTGAATGAGTGATGGACACCTGGAACCAGTTGCCTCGCCGACACCTCCTGGATCCACCCGACCAGAAAGGGTTCCAGTCTTTCAAGTGCATCGTCCACCGACTGCTGCGCTCGAGCCACTGGGACTGGGCGACCGCCGACTGCTGCGCGTGAGCCACTGGGACAGTCCTGACAGTACTGGGACTGGGACTGGGACTGGGCGACCGCCACTGGGACTGGGCGACCGCCCTGCTGTAGGGTAGTGAATCGACGTGGTGGTTTGTGGACATTATTGTGAGAGAGTGAGTCCGCACACAAGTATTATGTATGACTATGCGTCTGTGTGCATGTTCACATGCGTGTGTATATGTGTGTGGTCGGATGTATATGTGTGTGTGTGTGTGTGTGTGTGTGTGTGTGTGTGTGTGTCGGCCAGGTGACAAAGCACGACACAAGTGTAGCGCAGAACGAAGTCTCCCCATCCAGGAACAGCGTGGTGCTGTGCAGTGTGGTACATGCAGGAGGTGGTTTCACTCTCGTGGTGGCTTGCGTGTACATCATTGTTTGCCCCTGGAACCATCGGAAGCGTCCGCGCCGGCATCACCTATTCCGCTCAACGTCCCAGCTTCTCTCTTGTGTGTGACATGCAATCGGCAGTTCAAGTCAGTGCCTGGTTTCAGACGTCACAAGTGCGACCGTGGCCATCGAGCAACCAAGTCTGATAGAGCGTCGTATGGTGTTCGCTGTTCTCGCTGCAACCGTCAGTTCCGTCGACAGAGTGACCTGAGTCGTCATCTCCGTTTCTGCACCTGACAATGACTCTGGCTCCTTTCGGAGTGGTGTGGCCCTTGGGGCAACCAAGCTACAGTAGTAGTAGTAGTAGTGTGTGTGTGTGTGTACGTGGTTGGTATGTGGTGATTATGTGAGCGTATGATAATAACCTCTTTAATAACATTAATATATAAGTAGCGGAGTCCTCCGGATCGATAGAGTGCTCAATGCGGAAGCAGAGCAGTAACACACGAGTCACAGGAAAACCACGCGTCTTGAACGACAATCAAAACGCGTGGTTTTCCTGTGACTCGTGTAACATTAATATATATATATATATTTAAGGATAACATAATGCCGGCGAACGCCTATCAGGGGAATCTCTTTTTTGAACATGCACATATGTTCGTGTATGATGTGCCCTAGCTCACTTATAAGTTATCCCCTTCAATCATATCCATGCTGCCTTTCCTCTGAACATGTCCACCGCACTATTGTTTTTAAGATTTACATAAAATTATTACTTCTGCATATGCATTACCATGATTACATACTATGATCACGTCGGCTCCATCCCCTTATCTCCTAAGCTACCACCCCTCCACCCCACCCCCCCTCCGGGTGCGTCCGCCCAGTGTTGAATTCGAGACCCACTGTTGGACGAGCTGCCCAGGCCTCACCACCTCTGCCGTTTCCGTGCTGCCATCACGATACGTACTTATGTACACTGTATATTATGTGCACATTCACATGTCTGAGGGTTTGTGATTTTTCAATAAAAATAAAATAAATAAAAAGGTTGATGTTGTGATGTCGCGTATCGTGCACTGTCAGAATATTCCAGCAAAAGATTCGGCATTGCCAGATTGGATAACAGATCTATTTCAAGGATTGGGCAAAGGCAAATACAGATATGCGGATTATTTACTTCTAAAGTAGAAGAACTAAAATTTAGAGTCAAAGCAGATAATATGAGGGATGGAAAAAATGGGAAATGAAAAACATTTCAAGTCAGACAAAAAGGATGACATACTAAAACTAAAGATTATTGAATATGTCGGTGCTACTGTATACATATCAAATCGTTATGCAGTGTGCTGCTGACATTCACAAAATGGCCTAACAAAAGAGGGACAAGAACATTGCACTCAAAAAACGACAGAGAGAGAGAGAGATAGGAAGATAGATAGATATAGAACTAGATAGAGAGAGAAATATATAGAGAGAGAAAGAGAGTAAGTTACATTTATAAAGACAGGTAAGTCTAACAAATGTAGACTGAGACCACTACAACAGGGTTTTTACGCCTGAAAGCAGGTGCATGATTTTTTAACAAGCAGGTTGTCAGTTTGGATTTTATGCACAGATGGAGAAAAAATGCGCAGAATTTTTGTAATGAGATGAAAAGCAGAAATAATAAGAAAAGATGAAATGAAAGCCTGCTCACAACCCCAACCAGCCTTGCGAACTGGGTATGGTGGATTAAGAACCCGGTTCAACGCTCGAGCAAGCGCTCTCCACTCAAGGTGTTCACAGCAACTGGTAGGAACTCATATGGGGAAATTATAGAAAAGAAATATTAAGATATAGAGAATTTATTTCAACGCACCTCAATGAACGGAGCCCCACATACAGTACCTCAGAAAGGTGGATATTCCGACCAGTGTTTTTGTTGACGTCGCAACCAGATGATGTAGCTGCTTCGCAGAGACGTCTTACTGCACAACTTACAAACAAATTATATTATTCGAGAGAGAGATACGGAGAGAGAGAGATACAGAGAGAGAGATACAGAGAGAGATACAGAGAGAGAGAGAGAGAGAGAGAGAGAGAGAGAGAGAGAGAGAGAGAGAGAGAGAGAGAGAGAGAGAGAGAGAGAGAGAGAGAGAGAGAGAGAGAGAGAGAGAGAGAGAGAGAGAGAGAGAGAGAGAGAGAGAGAGAGAGAGAGAGAGAGAGAGAGAGAGAGAGAGAGAGAGAGAGAGAGAGAGAGAGAGAGAGAGAGAGAGAGAGAGAGAGAGAGAGAGAGTGAGAGAGAGAGAGAGAAAGAGAGAGAGAGAGAGAGAGAGAGAGAGAGAGAGAGAGAGAGAGAGAGAGAGAGAGAGAAAAAGAGAGAGAGAGAGAGAGAGAGAGTGAGAGAGAGAGAGGCAGGACATCGACATCGACAGAGAGATAGAGACAGAGAGAGACTAGGAGAAAGCGATAGATAAATGCCCGCTTGGCTTGCGATGTAAAAATAGAACGTAAAACCAATCAAGCAACAGAGAGAGTTAGCGAGGGAGAGAAAAATAAAGGGAGAGAGAGAGAGAGACAGAGACAGAGAGAAAGACAGAGAGAGAGACGGAGAGAGTTAGCGAGGGAGAGAAAATAAGAGAGGGAGAGAGAGACAGAGACAGAGACAGAGACAGAGAGAGACAGAGAGAATGACAGAGAGAGAGAAAGAGAGAGTTAGCGAGGGAGAGAAAATAAGAGAGGGAAAGAGAGAGAGACTGAGACAAAGAGAGAGACAGAGAAAAAGACAGAGAGAGAGAGAGAGACAGAGGGACAGAGAGAGAGACAGAGATAGAGACAGAGAGAGACAGAGACAGAGACAGAGAAAGAGGTGGAGAGATTATAAGTAAAGAGAGAGAAAAGTTCTGGGGGGCAGTCAATCATTGTATTTTGTATTGGTGGTGGTCTACCCCAAAGGTCAAGACGTAACCTCGCCACTATAGGCCCTTGACGATAGCCTAAGTTATGGCTGCCATTGGACACGCTGAATTGATCTATTCGTTCGAGGGACTCAGCAAGTCACCAATCTCCAAGTTCGATGGCTAAACATGATTAGGTAACTTTGATCTTTGTGACCCCTCGCTCTTATAATCCTCTTGTTTCAGTGAGTGTTTAGTCAATTTTTTGATTTTACCCAATGTACAAGCTACCAAACTGTCATAGTGGCTGAATGTGGTCCACCCAGGGATAAAAGGAGCCAACTTTGAGCGAAATCGGTATCTTGGTCAAGTCCAGTGCTATTTTGTCTTTGCAGACATGGACTAAGCAGTTAAAGCGTCATTGGCAGGGATATCACTTCGAAGTGGAGGGAAGAATACTGCACCACATTTCATGCGCGTGACTCCAAGCTGCACATATCATGTGTGCTCGTGTTTGCAATACAATATCACTGCTTTCTGGAAGACACATGTTTGATCCCGCATCCGAGTGGCTTCGAATTAAAGACACGATAGTATACTTGTGTTCCACCTGGGCATGTTTAGCCGCCTTAACAAGCATTATTGCGAAACTACGAAATTACATCTGTTTATGCGATACCTCTCCCTTTCATGTGTGATCGCGTAGTAGAGTGTAGGTGGTAAACTGTCGCCTTTTGGTCCTTACCCCCTGAAGTAGGAGCAAGTAGCACTATGATTCATTTCATATCGTCTCCAAGAAACTTCTAGTGTGGTTGACCAAAATGTTCGTGCCACTGAATTAATTCCCTTGTGGGTGAGTGTTTAGCCTGCCTCCCATTTCAGGGTGAGATGGACAGGCCGAGAGTGTGGCTTGCCTTTTTGGCTCTGATGCTTGCTAGCACGGGCAAGTGCATCCGCGCTCCGGTGAGTACCAGTGACCAGTACGCGTTTCACCAGGACTGTGAGTCTGGTAAGCTAGCCGAGCAGTTCACTGAGCAATCGCCGCGCACTGTCGTCCACGATACGATTATATTCGTTGCCACCTACCGCAGCAATGGAAGCCGCTACACGTTCAACGGTGAGGTCGGGAGATTCACCAGTGAGTATCCTAGATGTGGGCGAAGCATTGAACACCCATGTTCCACAATCGAGCAGGCCATTAAGGAAGCATGTAATGCGGGATCGGAATCCGTTGCTCTGAAGCTGATAGCTCACCCATCATCTGGGTGTACAATTGATCCACATGAGGACGCCGCAACTGCGAACTTCCAAGTAGGCTCTATGCCGAATATAACACTTCTAACCGACACATCGTTTGGATGCCCGAAATCTGTGGTAGATCTACATGGAAGGAGTCCTCTGCTCTACTTGAAGCAGCCTGTTTATGGTCGGTATTCCGTACGGTGTTTTGACATCACATTCCAGTCCAAAGGGCTACCGCAAAAAATTGTGCAAATCGAATTCCTCTATGGGCTTGCAGTTATCGATGTCATGTTTCATAACTGTGAATTTGCCGTCCAAGGCATGTCCTTGTTTCATGCGGAGGGTAAAGACCTTGCAGAAATCACCCTTACCTTGGCTCATTGTCATTTTCATGCGAGTGGAAATTTACCCGATCTCGTTACATTTACCCGGCCTCCAGCATTTGTGACCGACTCTATCCAGATCCATATTCTCAATTCAGTCTTCCAAGGTCAGAACGAACTGCTGCGAGGTGTTTCGGGCATTAATCTGGACTACAAGTACATGAAAGCCATTGTTGTTATCCATAACACATCGTTCATAGGTTTCGATGTCTCAGAAGCGGTGATTTCCATAAGGTGCTGGGACTCAGCCTCGCTGCCAAGAAGCACCACTGTAGTGGTACACGACACACTGTTCAAGGACAACCAATACTCGAATGGCGCACTCCTCATCTCTGGCTGCAGTAAGGTCTGCATCGACGGAGCTATCTTCGCGGACAACAAAGCTGCGCAGTGTAATGCGCCTGCATTGAGAATCGAGCAAAGGGAATTAGAGACCAATGTCCAGAGCGCAGTTGTTCGATCGCAGTTTACTCTCAATAAACGACTGCATCGTGGGTGCAAATCTGTGCTTGATTTGGATATCCGAGGCCGTGTACCTTCTATACCAATCAAGATTTCCATCAGATCAGTCGAATTCGTGCATGGCCCTGATTCTCGGGAGATCTCCATGAACTTGGAGCAAGCGGAATCTCGCATGTCCAACAACACATTTATCCGGTGAGTACGTGATGTTAACCTCAAAAGTATTATGATTCCCCACGAGGTTCAAAAATACAAGGCCCCAGAAATTGGTAAAGCTGCATGGTTGGTCAGACCCGACGCGAAGCCCATGGTCGAAGACCGTGAATCCCCATCGCTGCATTCATGTTTTAAACCTTTCACCGAATTGCAAATATGGCTGCGTGTAGTGGTAATGTTTAGCTTCGTGTAATGAACAATTGGGAGTGGACGCTCAGTAGGATCCTAGTTTTCACCATGATCAGTCTACCGTTATTAGCCTTGAAACTCTGAGTTTCAATTGAGCTTCCTCTCTCACCACCGTGAGGAAATCAGGGCATAAAACACTGTTCTTGTTCTTTTACTGCCATGTGGCTCACACGGGGAGAGTGCCGGACAGTCCACTCGGAAAACATGCAAGAGAGCAGTACTCCCTGGAACAGTCAACCTATTTCCTCAAGTGCTATCGAAGTCACAACATCTCAGTTCGTTTTGTAATGACTGTTTAGGTCTGAAAAATCCACATCAGTTTTTCCCTACATGAACTGTAGGGTGATGCTTTCACGTGTGCATGCATAAGCAATATGATGTACAATGTTTCTTTACCTTTGCCCCGCATTTCCTCAGGAAAACATGCAATATTGGAGACATCCAAGCTGTTGGAAGCAAAATCTTCATAGAAGGTTTGCACAGGGCTGTATGCCCGGGAACCCAGCCCTGGATACTGCAGCAAGCTGAAGTTCACATATCGCAGGTAAGGTGTTTCGTACACAGGTCATCCGCTATTAATTCGATGTTCAGCTTTACCGGTTTATTTACAGATAGGATCTCCCAATAAGGAACAGTGATTCCCAAGCGAGAGGAAACTACGTATAGGTGAGAAGATCATACATGTAAGATGATTTCTCTATTTCCGGTGCTGGTGTATCCATATATCCCTTGCCTTATATGTATGCTGCGTTCTCTTGCACCAAGAGTACATAACCCCCCAGAGGGTGCAACGCCGATCCAGCTCTGCATAGGGTCTTGGTCGAGCGGAATCGGATCTTCTGATGTCATGCGTACACTTCACACCAGGGAGTAGTACAATACCGGGAGGTGACACGGCCACACATTCAGGCGGGCGAGCTTTGCCTCAGGTCACTTTTCTGTGGAGCGCTGTGTCCCGGGAAACGTCACGAAATATCGTACTTCGCGCGCTGTGTCCCGGGAAACGTCACGAAATATCGTACTTCGCGTACCATTTATCGTAGCATTTCGTAGCATTTTTCAAAAAAATTCATAGAACGACTTGAAGAGAGTGGCAGAATGCTGTCAAGAAGTTTTCGAGCAGTACTTTTTGAAGTTTGTTTTGACGATGTAGGGAACGAATCCATCAGTCTTTGCTGAGTGATGAGGATGAATCCTACGAAGGATATCAAGTAGCAGCTGGCCTTCGCCTTCGCACGGGTACCTTCAGTGTGTCCAGTATTTACGTGGGCGGCTTGTAAGAGTGAAATTTTCTTCCTAATTTAATTTGTATTACATTTAGTTATTCACGTCGTTTCTAGGGGAATAGATAATGTTGACTCAAGTTTTAGTCACAATGAACAACATGTTTCAGGTATGGCTGACCCGTCTCAAGATAGTAAGGCTATTCCGAATCCAGATGCTATAGTCGTCAGAGAGAAACACAAAATAAAATAAATTTTATACTGCAGGGGCAGCTATTCGCAAATGTCACTATGACGCAAGTCTGTGTCAAGCAGGGAGTAGCACAATGGTACAATGGCACTGTGCTACTCCCTGCTACAAAGCCTGAGATGTTACGCGTTAACAGGAACTGGTGTTGATGATAAAGGCAGTGTGGAATTATGTACAATGTTACTGGTGCAAGTGACCATGCCGTGGAAGACCGTGCCGTGTAAGTCGTGTATGCAGGTAATCAGACCAAGCGTAAAAGGATAAAGATAGCCTGCTTACGTACTATTCCTAGTACGTGTGCTTTTTATAGATACTTTGTGTGACTACTAGTTGTATGTGTCTGCATATTACTATACGTATTAGTACGTAATTGCTTTTACTACAATTTGTACTTTGTGGGGAGCTGGGTGACGATGAACTATAGTATATATCAGGGAGTAGTACAATACCGGTATTGTACTACTTCCTGATATATATGGCCACCAAGAGCATACGCAATCAGAATCGTACAATACCATTACTCCTTGATTATAACCAATGTTACTTTTATGGCACCAATGTTACTTTCATGGCACCGTGGAATCATGTCAAACACAAAAGGATAAAGACGAATAGTAATAGTTGTTGGTGAAGATCAAAGAGATTGTCATACACGATGCGCTGTTATTCGCAGCAGGCAGTGACTTCTGATGACGTGTTCTGTGCAGTAGATGGCATACCAAAAAGAGATAAGCCATGTTATATCCGACGTCCACCTTACACATATGGTAGAACTGTGCAACTAACCTTGTCAGATGAGAGTATTTATCATCGTCTATACAAGGATGATCTTCGTCAATGGGGTGCGCTGTAGAACACGCATGAAAACAAATACAACCCCAAAACGTAGTTTCAGTATTGCTTCAGTGTCATATTTATAATCAACAATGTTGTATTGCAGAATTATATCCTTCTCATGATTGCTATTGCTCAACACGCTAGGACTGCATAAGTACACACCAACATCCCCAAAACAAAATGCATTGAAACCACTTGAAACCACTCTTGCTATAATTTGTTTACTTTTTGGGTGAGGAGCAATTGGCGTTGGGCAGGCAGACTTCGCAGCCGCACCCAAGTCGTCGCTCTTCCTCTTCTGTCCACGGGTTCTGGGGGTTAAAAAAGCAACAAAGCAAGCAGGCCTGGCCTCATTCAGTGCTGAAAACAAGTGATCTTGAACATTATGTTCAAGTCTATACAAATAAATAAGTTTCAAAATTTTCAGAATGAGTTTTCCAAAGAGTTACATAAGCTAACACGTTGAGATGAAGTAGAATGGTAGACAAATAGGTATACTTTCGAAATATCCCAACTTGGTGAGGTGTCCGAGTGGGTCCAAATGAGAAATTCAGGTTCGTGTTACACCATGTCAAGATGAGAAAATTCCATCACGTTACTTACCTTGGATAGCGTCCTCCATATTCGTCACTTCCATCCATTTTGGGAAGTCGAGACTTGGCAGCAGTGTGGACGATGTACCAGAGTAGCTCCCAAAAAAGGCTCGAGCTGAAAAGAACAAGTGGCAGCTTGTCACGAAGGGATACGTCTGGTCTTCTCGTCACTATTTGAAGGTTTCTCAGCGCTGTCAAAAGAGCAAAAATTTGAATTTTCGCGCGGTTTGTATTTTTTTGTGAGGCAAAGCTCGTAATCCCGGATGTGTGCCCGTGTCACCTCCCGGTATTGTACTACTCCCTGCTTCACACCAGCGCAAGGCCGGTCTCGAGGCAGGGCACCATTGTTTTTGATCCGAGAGTACCCGCGACTCCCCGGGTTCCCCTCAGATGTGTACGGTTTTATGACGCAAATATCCGATTCCGCTCGACCAAGACCCTATGCAGAGCTGGATCAGGCGTTGCACACGTCCACGATTCATGCCTGCGATGCTGCACCGCTGCTTTGCATGTCATGATTGGAAGCTGTGGCCTTAGTAAAAAAATAAAATAAAATAAAACACTCTGGGGGTTATGTACTGTTGCTTGCACTCTTCCCTTTCAACCATTTCACCGTACCGTACCCATGCTAGCTACCTTTATAGTATGCGTATCCGGACATGTCGGACAGTTCATGCGATAGCCCTGCTCCCGCAGCACAACTGGACGCCAGCCAGCTGCTGCCGATAATCCAGGCACAAATTCAAGCAGCTGCACAACGTGACGCACAGCTGCAAACATTGTTGCAGACCATGTCGAACAGTCGAACAGTCGAACAGTCGAACAGTCGAACAGCAGCCCCAGCCACTACAAGTAAAACCAAACCCGTTTCTGTTGACCGCAGTGCAGTGAATGCTATGAAATCGTCTTATCAGAAGAAGAAGAAGTCATCCAGCCAGGCTCCCAAGAAGCCCGATGCCGCAGCTAAAGCATCATCCAGCAGCAAGCCTCCTGGACCAGTGAACAAGTGCCACAACTGTGGAGGCACTGCCCACACCAAGAGTGAATTTCCTGCTGCCGGACGGAAGTGCAGCGGTTGCCAACGCATGGGACATTTCTTGGCAATGTGCCCAGCTGCAAAGAAGACTGTCGGCCAACTGAAACTCCAACGGGCCACATCCTCGCGGGATTCCAGCACGATTATGGTTGGCACCCAGCTTGTGTCAGCATCCAAGCCGACAAGTTTGAGGTGGTTACCTGATACTGGAAGTGATGTAGACGCCATCGGCCTGGCACATTTGTCTACGCTTGGCGAATTTCCCGAGAATCTGCCAGCCGACCGGGGGTGGCCGTACAGCTAATGGCTCAGCACTCACCAGTCTTGGCAAGTTAAACGCCACCCTCACACTAGGTTCTGCCACTCACTCCACTGCCGTACATGTCTACGATAGCTTGGATGAGGCATTGCTCTCACAAAACAGCCTGTCTGCCCTTAACCTGTTGCCTGCGGCATGGCCCTCGGTTTCGGCGCAGTCCCTCAGCGCAGACACTAATACGGTTGAACAGCTTCAACAACAACTCCTCGACGAGTTTGCCGACGTGTTTGACAGTTCATGTCTCAACCCTATGAATGGTCCTCCGGTGGATATCAAGCTGAAATCTGATACAGAGCCAAGTTGTGTTCGGAATGCGCGATCCATCCCTTTTGCCTATCCGGACCAGATTAAGTCTCAGCTGGATGGCATGGTCGATGACAACATCATTGAGCCGGTTACTGAACCATCTGAGTGGTGTCACCCAATTGTTCTCGTGAAGAAGAAGGGTACCAACGAGATGCGTCTCACCGTTGACCTCCGCAAACTGAATGACCAAGTTTGCAGACCGACTCATCCTGCCCGCACACCTCATGACGCTGTCGCCGCCATTGGTCCGGCACGGTACTTCACGAAGCTTGATGCTAGACACGGCTACTGGCAGGTGCCACTGTCTGAGGATGCCCAGCCTCTGACCACATTTATTACGCCGTGGGGACGGTACCGGTTCCTCCGAAACCCTCAAGGTCTCATCTCTGCTGGGGATGTATTCAATTCCCGTACCGACTCTGCTTTCGACCGGCTCGTCAATTTCTCGAAAGTCGTCGATGATGGCCTGGTGTATGACACAGACCTGACAGCCCATTACACTCACGTCCGGGATGCTCTGCTCCGAGCCCGTCAACATGGCATCACCCTGAGTGTAAAGAAGTTTGTGTTCGGCGCACCGGAGGTTGACTACTGCGGCTACCGTATCAATACTGACGGTTACACAGTTGACGGTGGCAAGACTGATGCCATCACCGATTTTCCCGTGCCAGTGAATCGCACTGATGTCCGCTCGTTCTTTGGTCTCATCAACCAATGCAGTAATTTCTCGCCCGAGATAGCCAAGCTCAGTGACCCGTTGCGTCTGCTGTTGAAGTCCAGCACCGAGTTTCTCTGGGAGTCAACACATACAGATGCATTCAATGCCGTCACGTCTGCGTTAGCCTCACCACCAGTGTTGTCATTTTTTCTTCCTGGTCGACCTCTCCGCCTGGAGACCGATGCATCCATTAAGAATGGCCTTGGCTATGTCCTGTGGCAGCAACAAGCTGATGCAACTTGGCGTATACTCCAGTGTGGCAGCCGCTTCCTGTCTGATGCAGAATCCAGATATGCTGTTATTGAGTCAGATTGTTTAGCCGTCACCTGGGCAGTTCGCAAATGCTCACTATATCTCGCTGGCTCAGCGTTTGAAGTCGTAACTGATCACCGTCCGCTCGTTCCAATTCTGAACACATACTACCTTGATCAGATTGAGAACCCTCGTCTCCAGCGGCTTGTGCTGAAACTTCGGCCCTATCAGTTGCACGCAAGTTGGCGCAAAGGCAGCGATCATGCATTCCCGGATGCTCTGTCTCGCCATCCAGTCCGTGATCCCTGTCCTGAAGACGAGCTTGGTGAAGACTCGTCATCTCAAGGCCCCGCCATCCGTGCTTGTCTACAAGAGGATTCTGGCAACTAACTTGCGCTTTCATCAGCTCCATTCTGCCGCACATGCTGATCCTGACTACCAGCGCCTAGTACAGTACATCATGACCGGCTTCCCTGAGAAGAAGTCCCAAATGCCCGAGTCGCTACAGCCCTACTGGAATGGTCATGAACATTTGTCGATCGATAATGATCTGGTGATGAAAGGCCCTCGCCTTCTGATCCCCCCAGCCCTACTTCAGCACGTACTGTCGGATCTACATGCCTCTCATCAAGGTTTGACCCGCACCAAGTCACGTGCACGGCAAATAGTGTTCTGGCCTAGCATATCCTCTGATATCGAGCGTGTCATCCGCAGTTGTGATCAATGTCGCCTCTATGGAGCTTCGCAGCCCAAGGACCACTCCGCTGTGAAGACCGTACACCAAGTCTGCCCTTCCAACACATTAGCACTGACCTCTTTGAGTGCGAAGGCTGGCAGTACCTGGTTTATGTTGACCGCCTGACTGGTTGGCCTTGTGTCGCCAAAGTCGGACGCACAGCATCCTCGGCAAACGTCTTCCGCTTATTACGCCGCTGGTTTCCAGACATCGGTGTACCAGAAGTGCTGACAAGCGACGGCGGCCCACAGTTTCAATCACACAGATTCGTCAAGTTCTGCGAAACGTGGGGTATTCGGCATGCAACGTCCTTTCCCCATTATCCGCAGTCCAACGGCCTAGCAGAGAATGCTGTCAAAGCCATGAAACGGTTGATCCAGAAGACTACTAGCAGTGGCGACCTCGACACCGATTCTTTTCAGCGTGCATTATTTGAATGGAGGAATACCCCCAACGCTACCGGCCGTAGTCCAGCACAGGCAATGTATGGTCGTCCGTTACCCTCCTTTGTATTTGCTCATCATGCCAGCTTTGCCCCTGAGTGGCAGCGTCAAGCTGAAGTAATTGATGCCCAGTCCAGCAAGCACGCTACATCTACACAGAAGCGCTACGACCAGTCGGCTCGTCCGCTGTCTCGCCTGGCCATAGGCGTGCCAGTTGATATCCAGCACCCGAGGACCAAACTTAGGTCATCGTATGGAACCATTGTCGGTATTGGACAGCACCGTGACTACCTGGTTAAAGTGCCCAGTGGTCGCGTCTACTGGCGCAATCGTCGTTTCCTCCGTCCCAGAGTGTTACCTGCCCCGACATCTGCAGCAGCCTGCACTCCTGACCCTGTTGATTCCGCACCTATCAACATATTGCAACCAGATGTTGTTGTTGCCCAACTTGCGACTGCTCCAGGTCAACGCCCCATCGGTCGTCCTCGCCAGCAGAATGTTCCGTTCAATATAATCTCAACCAGTGGACAATCTTATTTGTTTGTTTATTTACGGATTCTCCAGAGGTAAATTATGACTAGTTTCTGTATCTGATTCAGATATCTAGCTTGCTCACTTGCGTTATTGTTCTGCTGTGTTTTCTTTCTGTCTTGCGTACTCTGTCTGTTCCGCAAGCTATGTCTTATTTCGCATTTTGCTTAGATAAAATGTATTTTATCTCGGAAGGGGCGTGGAGTATCCGTATATATCCCTTGCCGTATTATGTATGCTGCGTTCTCTTGCACTCTTCCCTTTCAACCATTTCACCGTACCGTACGCATGCTAGCCTTATAGTAAGCGTATCCATTTTCGTTGCCTGAGTCTCCTCCGCCAGGGGAATCCTCAGTTCGGGTTTTCTCTTGGACATGGCAGTTTATTTTATTTGAGTTGTGGAATAAAACCCAACAGGTGCAGTTTGTATAAGACTATAGGCGCATAAGCCCCAGTAAAGCATGGCTGTTGCAAGTCTTGAAATGCTAAGGAAATTCTGGAAACTCGCACAGTACATGCCCATGCATACTGCACCATAAAACAAAAAGGCCACCAACCAATGATGATTGTCTTGTGCTACTCCACATTCACGAATTACATGGCACACTTGTCCATACACACACATGCACACACATACTCGTACACAAGCAAGCAAACACACAATTATGCATACACACTAACTTTGTTAACATGGAAATTGTGGGCACAAGTTATGCGATCGAGTCCACCAGCTAAACCAGATTTTGAACAGTCAGACGTGCACAATCTAGCATAAAACTGACAAGGAGTGCTGAGTCCTTCCACGGCATTGAAATCAGCTTGAGCAGTGCTCCATAGCGTTGGTGGCCTCGATCGCATAACTTGTGCCCACAATTTCCGTGTTGCAAATTTTTCGTTGGCTCACTTTCTGAGTTCTTAAAACACACACTAACACACATAATTATGATAATTACTCAATCTGCGCACAGAAGTGTTTCGTCCTTTGTGGACCCATCAGCGTAGCACAGAGAAATGAGGCCGAACATGATATAATTATCATAAGGCTAATTATAGAGTCGGCGTACTGTACAGTCTGAGTTCAGAGGATTGTATCATTTTGAATAACATAAAAATCCTTAAAAATTCCATTAACTCGTTTTGTCTGGCCATGTCTGCATCTATTATACTTTTCATTGCACTAATAAAGACTAATAAAGACTAATTATAATTATTACAGTGGTGGAGAGTTACTCTTAACTCGTTTCCATGTGTCCTTTTCCTTTCTACTTATAATTATTATACTTGTACATGTACAACATGTCATGTGTATGAAAACCAAATGCACATACTGTGTGCAAATACATGTATATGTACATGGATACGCTTCGCATTTCGCTTTTCTGCCTTTCTGTCTATTGGCGTCTTTCCTTGTTTTGAATCTGTGAACACTGTAGATCACCAACTTACGGCACATGGTTATGTTAGAAAGCTACAACTGGAGAAATGCCACTAAACATTGGTCCATTGCTTTTGCAGAGGATGGGGGAATTGACGTGAACATCCCTGCCACTGTTGCGGATATTTACCAAGATTATGGATTGTATTCCGCAAAGGCCCTATCCACTGAAGTAAGTAAACAACCTTTATAATATTGTTAAAAATTAATGATATTCAATTTGAAACAAAATACCAACATGTTACATGTGATCCGTAGTTTGTGTCCAACGTTAACACTTATAACCATGCAACATGTTGTGTAGTCAGAAGGTGCAACAGCTTGCACAATACTGACTGATGTAATAGTGAACATTTAACGACCTGATGATAAGCTATATCACGTCTTGAAAGCGCAAACCAACAGCCTTCCAACTTGGAAGGTTCTAAGTTATGAAAATAAAACATGCGAAAGGGGAAGGTGAGCGCACTCAAGAAAAAACAAGCTAAGCATCGCAGCAAACAAAGAATGTTACCTTTGACGTGATGGGGATGAAATCCGAACGATCATGGCGATGGATGGCCACAGCTCACTTTGAGAACGAGAAAAAACGACCAACCAACTTGGGAGGCTCACATTTATCGGAGAAAAGCAAAAAGAGGGGAAGTTACACGAACACGAAGTGCTTGTTTTCGTCTTGAGTGCGTTCACATTCCCCTTTCTCATGCTTTCATTTTCATAACTTAGAACCTTGCAACTTGGATGGCTGTTGGTTTGCGCTTTCAAGTCGTGATATAGCTTATCATCAGGTCGTTAAATGTCAGTATCACATCAGTCAGTATTGTGCTAGCTGTTGCACCTTCTGACTACACAACATCTTGCATGCTTATAAGTGTTAACGTTGGACACAAACTATGGATCACATATAACATTTTGGACCTTTCGTTTTAAATTAAATGTTTTCATTTTACGTCGATAGCTCACCAATATTGAGATGTACCAAAAAAAAGACCAGCATCGGAAACAAATAAAGAAGAATATAACATACTCGGACAGAGATAAAATATGGGGATAATCTCCCACGAAATCTTGCATTTGACACTAAGCCTTAGAAGCCACAAAGCACCAAACAGTTCTGTCCGCAGATTGAGTATTTCGCTCCTGCACTTGTAGCAATTGAGCACTCTCGCGTGGGGTAGTGCCTTTGCTGTTTGCGCTATGCAGAGCTCACTGACTTGTCAGTTTGAGCACTCTGGCAAGGTATGTTTTGGGCCTGGCTTTGTAAATTTTATCTTTCATTGCTGCCAGGTTCGGCCTCATTTCCTCTGTGCTGCGCTGACGAGTCCACAAAGGACGAAACAGTTCTGTCCGCAGATTGAGCATGTAATGTATACAATAGAAAGGAGTCGACGTGCAGATGGAAATACATGTAGAATAATAAAAGTAAGGATAATCCATGTCACATGACCTAGCAATGGCTGTGCACTCTGTCATTCCTCTCTCCCCAGGCCAAGGACTTCAGCTACAGACCCAAGAGTATAGTTCGACCATGTTCCATTCAAGTTGCAACGCCACTGAGGTTCATATGTGACAGTCCACGTCAAGCAACGTCAGCGTATGATACTTCAACTGAGTGTAATGCCTATGGCATGTATTCAGCTGGTTCGTGCTCAGGCACTCCTGTTCACAGCACCAATCACAGCGTAATATGCACAGGCTCCAATTTCACTGCACTGATAATCAAGAGGTTTAGGGAATTTTACAACCTAGCGACAGGTAAGCCTACCTGGATTTTGTTCCGTGACTCCAGCGCCGAATGCATCAAGCAACGGGGAGCAACATGGCTCTATTTTAGGAAGCAGTGCAACGGAACCGCTATTTCTGAGGCTTTGAAACATATCAGGTAGGTTTGCTCCACAACGTGTCCTCTCGTTTAACAACGACCCCCCCCCCCCGGCCCACATACACGCACACACACGCACACACACGCACACAAGCAAACGCCCAAACTCTTTTTCTCTCACCCAATCTCTACCTCTCTCTTTCCCATTCCTTGTCTCTCTGTGTTTGTCTCTGTCTGTCTCTCTGTAAGCCGACCTGTTTCTAGGTCTGTCTCCCTCTATATCTCTTTATTATCTCTCTTCTCTCTTTCTCCCTCTCTCTCTATATGTCTCTCTGTATCTCTCTCTCTCTATCTATCTATCTATCTATCTATTTTATCTCTTTCTCTCTTTTTCCCTCTCTTATTCGATTTATCGGGGCAAGGAACGAATGGGAGGCAAAACCATGGTGTCATGCGAAAGTGGGCATACTAGATTGCTTGCTCCACGTTTCTATATTGACTGTACACCATGTTAAAGTGCGACAATATTCTCTCTCAATCCTTTCGCTATGAACATTTCCACAATGCAGACAAGGTCGTGAAGACAAAGACGAGGCTCTGATAGCTCTTCGAGACCAACTAATGCGCCACCAAGACTCATTGACAAACACGTTCATTGGGCAGGACAGTTGGAGCCTTCCCTGGTTTCATGCAGCCGGGCAGGATTGGAAAAATGGTGAATTGCGGGAGGGGCCTAGTGGGCGATGGCACACGAATTACTCAGACTACCTGGGTTCATTGGTCTTGTACCCAGCTGCTGGAGAGATGATATCAATTCACTTGGACACATATGACAGTTTCCTGAATCAGTTGTCTAGCAGCATGTCCGTGAGGGTAAGTTTGTCGAGTTGGTGCATGCCATCATGTTTAATGTGACCACGAACGCAGTTCTTCGTTTTCAGTTCTACTTGCCAGTTACCGTACTCGTGCGAGCAGAGCCCTGGCTTCAATAGTGCCCTATCTCGAATAACGCCCCTGTCTCTAAGAACCAGTGAAAAAAATAGAGCCCTTTCTTGAATAGTGCCCCCCCCCCCTCTGGGCTTGCAACCAAGTTTGGTGTTCCTTTAGCAATGTTCTTGTCCATGTCATTGAACTAGTGGTTTCAGTATCAAAATCTCAGTTTTTGTTGCCCTTTCTGTTGAGTCATCATAGTTTACAGTTCACTTAAGGCTCTGTTTTTCTTTGTCGTCGTCTTTTTATGCTGGATCACGTACATGTACGTGTAAATGTACCAGCATTGAAAAATAGCGTCCTCTCTTGAATAGTGCCCACTCTTGAATGGTGCCCTCTCTTGAATAGTGCCCCATCTATCAACGACATTGAAAAAATAGTGCCCCAGGGACACTAATAGGGCGAGTACCAAAACACACCACAGGGGCAAAACCTCAATATAAATAGCCGAATCAATGCAATGTGGTGTCGGAAAATGCGTTCCAAGGATCTCAGAGTGAGAATCGAGTCCAGTTTGAATCCATACACCCTGCTTCTACAGGAGGGCTAACAAGGTAAAATGGATATCTTCATCGGGGATCAACCTGTTACCCCTATGTGGTTAGCCAGGGTATTGTCAGCGACAATGGATACACGCCCATGATGATCTTACACTGTTTATAGACCAGCTGGCGACATTGAGCACAAAATAATGTTGAGAGAATGATAGCTGGTCCTAATCCTTTGAAACATAAAATCATCCGATCGCGGTGCTAAACCCACGCATGCACACGCCATTGTACACAATCATTTTCTCTCACTCTTCCAAAAGATAATTATTCAAGCGGTGCATATATTACTGTTGTCCCTGGCACAGGTGGCGAAAAGATACAAGAAGCAAGCTTCGGTTACTCTCTTGCGATACAATGGCGATGTATCATCCCTTGGTTACGAGCCTGTGGACAGCGTTGAGTTTCTATCAAGAGACGGCCTCACTGGAATTGCGTTAGGCGGGCAGCCCGGTGACGTAGGTTGGCTGTTGCTGAGCATTAAAGGAAGGAACAGCGTCAGAGTTGAGTTTTCACAGACAAGATTCAAGCTGGAGATACCGTTCAAGATTCGTCCATGCCATAAGGGTTTCCATGGCCCTGTGGAGAAGGTAGTTATTTGTGTAGGTGGGTCAAGGAATCAGCAATTATACATTGTCCCTCGTGATCTTCATAAAGCACCTGCTCCTAGGCATGCAGAATGTGTATGTTTGTAAAAGATATTTTTACTGTGCCGAAAGAATCAGTCTCAAACGAAAGGTGGTCTTTCCACACAGATCCAAAACTACATGTTGACATGTTCTGTATGTCCTTACATAATTTACTGGTCTATTAGTATTAGGTCAGGGCACGTGGTCTCATAATAAACGATAGGTGACCTCGACAGACGGATGCCTAGTTCTGGAAAGGTGACCCATATACATGTACTTGTACAGTGTAGCTTACAGAGTGATCAAGTACTCGACTATGTTCCATATTACCGAGTAGTACAATAGATCATCGAAGGCTTTCTTTCTGAAATTTTGGTTATTTTTGACAAATTTGTCCTCTTCTGGTGTCACGCAATCCTTAGGTTGGAAGTATTCCATTTATGCTACTCTGATCATTTTCTTTCGCAAAACTCGAATGTTGTGCCAATAATAATAAAATGTAGAAAGGAAAGGGACATACGGAGATATTTTGAAGCTAGGTAACAGGTCGTCGAATGTTCTCAGTACTCTGTCAGTGTTGTGCCTAGTTGTTGCACTCTTTGAGTGTACAGTATTTAGTTACAGTGGTAGACAGTCACTCTTAACTCGTATCCATATGTCTCTTTACTTTCCACATGAATTATTTCTCTTTCGCTCAGGAATCCGGAACAATGTTAGGCAAAAAGACGTTCTGGACATGCGAATGCAGTAAATTACAATTTCCCGGTATCCGCAACTGCACAAAAGGCCGCCATTTGAACATCCGATCTGGCTATTGGGCTGGCAACCCACTCGACGCCCCAGAATTGCAAGGAGGGAAAAATCTTTCAGACATGGTGACCTGGGAGATGAACGAGTCGCTTCCATTTAATGGCTCTAACACGTTTGCGAAGTACGTGGTTTACCCGTTCGAGATAGCACAGTGCAAGAATGGGCTGTGTTTTAATCGCGACTGGAAGGATGGCGAAGGTCAATCCTGTCCAGGATATTCGTCCGGTCCGCTGTGTGGTCGTTGCTTGCAGGGATACTGGCAGACACTCGTCACTCAGGTATAGAATCATATAGAATATTATAATAATTATTATGATATCTTCCTCCCATCTTGCTCCCCTTGCTTGCCACAAGTCGAATGGTAGGATTTGGCACGTTTTGCTCAAGGTTTGAGATGATTTCGTGATTAGAGGTATGATTAAAAGGTACGATTTCCTCAAGGTTTGAGATGATTTCTTGATAAAAGGTACTACAGTATGATTAATTTTGGTACGACTTACTCAAAGTTTGAGATGATTTCTTGATTAGGGTGCGTTTGGTTGGTACGATCTAGAACAGGATCGAACAGCTGGTGCACATGGAGCAGCCTCATGTCAACCAAACGGTACTCCAGAAACAGAGCACATTTTTGTGAAAAATACGCCAAACTTGGGGCTTTCTTCAAAATGTGTATCATCACTATGGGTCACCATGGTCACTGTGTACGGTACGACGAGTCCAACCCAAAAGCGTATGCACGTGATCATTTGGTACCAAAATCGATGTTCCCGCCAGGTTTCACTGTGAAAAAGTGAAACTGCTCGGTCTGCTTCGGCCTCGAGGCCGGAGCAAGCAGAACATGTTCTGGCCGACCCCGAACAGGTGCAGTCCCAACCAAACGCGCTGTTCTGGTGAATCCTGTTCTAGTTCGTACCAACCAAACGCGCCCTTAGAGTAAATAGCGAGCTTTCAAAATGTTATTTTATTTTATTTATTTATTTCTGCACCTCGTGGCATGTCAAGACAGCCAATGGAATTGAGGAGAGGGTGAGACCAACCACGGAAGAAGAGAAAAAAGAAAATGAAGAGCACGTACACAAAGTGGGAAGGGATTAGCAACTTACAAAGCAATGGGATGCTCAGCGAGCACTGCAGCGGAAGTGGTGACTGTGATTTTGTATACTGGGAGATACTGAAGTGCTGTCTGACGAGGGTACGGAATTTGGGCATATCTGGAGCTTGTCTAACACTGGGAGGCAGTTGGAGCCACGTGGAGTAGGAGGAAAAGAAAGGGGAATTTACGAATAGGGTAGACCTAGATAGGGGGAGACGAACGCAGCTTCGGGTGGTGCCACCTGACTTAAACCAATGAAGGGACTGTAAATGAGCAGGGTGCTGGTCAAGAAAAATTGAATGTGCCAGGGTGCACTTGGAAGCATGAAGGTAGTGTTGCAGAGTGGTAGTGGATGCAGCAGCATACAGGTCTAGATTTGAGATATATCGATCAGCACGAAATATGATGCGCAGTATACGGCTATTGAGAATTTCTAATTTACCTATGTGGGTTTTGTTAATGGTGGACCAGGCAGGGAAGCCGTACGTGAAGAGGGGAAGAATGTATTATTTATAAAAATTAATCCGGCAATTTTGGGGCAAATGGGACAAGTGACTTGACATTATGCCGACAGATCGGCATACTTTGGACGACACATGATCAGCATGGTGAGACCAGGAGAGGGCGGAATCTATGGCAATGCCAAGGTGTTTATGGTGGGGCGCTACAAGATAGGGCGACTGGGATCGTCGGGAAAGTGGAAGATGGGCACTGGATTTGTGGGAGGGGGAAAAAGGAGGAGCTCGGTTTTGGTCACATTTGGCTTAAGGTACCAAGTGCTCATCCAGTGAACAATGTCGTTGATACAGGTCTGAACTTTGGGATACAGGGTGGCGTGAGATGGGGAGGAAGCAAGGACAGTGGTATCATCTGCAAACAAAGAAATATTGGGAATGGCATAGAGGAGGTCATTAACGTATGTGAGGAAGAGCAGGGGACCTAAAATGGAGCCCTGGGGCACTCCGGATGTCACAGACTCGGGGTCAGATAAGGTTCCATTCACTGTGACGCAATGATTTCGGTCCAAGAGGTAGCTAGTTATCCAGGCGAGTAGGGAGCCGGAGACACCATGGGCACGACGTTTTGCGATCAGGCCCTTGTGCCACACGGTGTCGAAGGCCTTGGAGAGGTCGAAGAAACAGATGCAGGAGACATTGTGAAGTGGTGAAAGTTAGGTGCTGCTCACGCGATAAAAGGAAACGTACCTTCATGTAAGATATGGAGACATGGAAAACTGCAGGGCTAAATGTATGTATTAAAAGAAGACGGTCAACATAGAACGAGCCCAATGCCCAGCTGTCCAACAACGCAACCAGATCCTTTAAAGGCAGCGAGTGTGACAAAATGTCACAAAGAAGACTCAATGTGTGTATTTCCCACCACTTGAATTCACCATACGCAGAGCTGCATTGCTGTCTTTAGCTTCATTTTCCCGAGACAAGTGTGCGTTAGATGATATGGTACGGTAATCTTTTCTTCCATTCATGTATCTTGGTTTTCCATTTTACTCTCCTTCAAGAAAATTTAATGCCAACATTGCTCGCTCTCCTCTCGTCGAATACCCTTACACTGGTACGTGGTCACAACGATTGTTTTGACAGTAGCTAGCTTCCTCCTAATGTTACGATTCAACTTCGGTCTTTCCCCAGTACTGGATAGCTGGCTGTTCCTTATTCAGGTATGGTGTACCAGTTCATTCCCAAGTGCTCTCGTATTTATTTTTTGTGCGCTTTTGCCCACCGTTAATGGATTTTGAGGGATTAAAAAAGGAAAAGTCATAGGAAATAATTGGCTGTTCTATTGATACTGAAACCAGGGACATTCGCTTACACTAGCGTAGCTCTGGTGTATTATTCATCCAAACAAAGTCTGTTTAATATCCTAAAACCTCACCACACCTATGAAAGCCGGATAGAAACGAACGTTAAAGGCTGAAAATGACTTTTGTGTTGGACGTACATGTAAAAGTAGGATTAGCATTGAGAAGTTCGCTTAAAAAGAGACAAAAGCAAACCCTCATTGGATACAACAACACATTTCCACTACAGTGGTCCACATTGTCCAGCCGAATTGAATCGTGCAGGGCGTTTGCCAGGAAATCTTGCAAACGTTCAACTTATCCAGCCAGCTTTGTCCACTAGCGCATGACAATACCTATGGGGGAGAGTTGCATGGTTGGTAAACTCATCGATGTCAGTGCAAAAAATGGCATGAGATTGCAGATTCGATCAAAGCGTCTAGGAAACGGTTCGAGATTTCAGTTAGAAAGATATTAAGGCTCGGGGTGCGCTAATGCATTGTGGGTGGGCGTAGACTGTGCAACCACTATTCCAAACCATGAGATGTGCGTGAACCATTCCTGACAGTTAGGCGAATGTTTCTGAATAGGTATGCGGAGACAGGGAGGGCGGCGAACAACAAACCGTGGATCAGAACACTGTTGGAAGTTCCAAGAACGTTTGGAAACTGATACCGTCCGCTCTTCAGTCAAGATCAATACTTGTAGTTACTCTCATTTCTGCCTTAATATTCTCCTGATGAAGATAATCAAGCATCGTGCCGTTTTAAGTTTTCATGCCGTTCTCCTTTCGTCTCTCCTATGTACCCAGGCCTGCTGGTACGTGTTCCCCAAAGACAAATCACCAATTCATGCCATGATTCACTCAATACTGACATTTGGCCTGGGCAGTCTTTGCTTCGTAGAGCCCCTGGACAAACTGGACAGCGGCCGACTCCTTCTGTTGCAACCAATGACGCTACTCTTCCTCTTCATGACGGTGAGGGTACTGAGGTCATACAACGTCACCGGCAAGTATATTCAACGCCTGCAAAGTCACATGCTGCTCGTACGCGTCATGTGGTTCGTGCTGGTGTACAGCTATTTCGTGTTGGTCTCCGCAAGCATAAACACTCTGTGGTGCACACGCCTGAGCCACAGAGGAGATGTTCTGGTAATGGATGGCGTCATCAAGTGTTACAATGGCAAACACATGCTGCACACTATCCTGGCAGGGCTGATTATCCTCCTGGTCTTAATTCCACCGCCACTAATCCTCGCCATTCCGCAGTGCCAACGCAGGGTCCACCTGAAGGGATTCATTGACGAGGCCAGTAGTCTCTACAAGGACGATCGCCGCTGGTGGGCCTCTGTGAACCTACTGAGAAGAGTGGCAGTAGCAATCATCAGCGTGATGATGACTGGAAGCGAGGAAAGTCGAATAATGGCTCTCACCGCATTTTTCTGGTGTTATTTCGCATTTCACACTCAATGCAGGTAAGAGTCAGGTCACCCCTAGCCTTCTCGTGCCGTATTTTTAAGATGGTTCTTTAGAACGGGGTGGCGCTATTCACACACCGCTACTACTGCAGTGTAGAACGGCACCTGTAACACGTTTATACTCTCAGCTTAGTTGCCACCATCACAGATTACTTATGCTTTGGAGTTCAGTATTATTAATTATTGTCTTACTGGGATTGTATATTTGTATCAATTTCAGTTTCCATTTATATCCACAATGCTTATTTTGCCGGAAAAGGAGGCTCTCCACATCCAGGCAAGGGAATGTATGGTGTGCAGGTTCAGTTTTTCTATTAAGATGTTTCCACTTTCAAACAACGGATATCCTTTTGTGTGTTCTATGTTATGTGATCCAGGCCATTTCGGAGCCACGACCTCGTCGGAGTATCGGCCAACACATGGGAGAGCATGTTTCTTTTCGGCCTTTCGCTTATTGCAAGCCTCGAATCCCACGCATTCAACGAGGACGAAGGCTGGCGTCGTACGATGCACACCGCGGCATTGGCCCTACTGGGAGCCATGAATGCTCTCCTGCTTGTAGTATGCGTAGTCAAGCAATGTTTCTCAAGACAAGGTGGTTATGGTCTGCTCAAGGACCTGTCGTTTGCAGTATGGTGGCGCAGAAGGCAGAATGCCCGGAACAGCGAGCCAGATGTGGAGCTGACAGAGTCTACACTTGACGTCATGGCTCGCGGCATGAGGGAGCCACTAATGATAGAGCAAATCAGGGATGCGCATGGCAGAGGAAGTGACCATTCCTCACAAACATCTTGCATCATCCTCTGACGATCTACTAATCCGGGACTTATGTCAATACCCGAATATGTTGGCATTCAGCTGTTGTCTCTTTTGTTGACGTTTTTGTTGTTTCAATTCTTTATTCTCACGATGGCACCATCACCAATAAGAGTTGTTGTTGTTGTTGTTGTTGTTGTTGTTGTTGATGTTGTCGTTTTGTTGCTGTCAGTATTGGCAGCGGCGACGTCATCGTCTTTGTTGTCGCCGTCGTCTACGTTGTCGCCATCATCCTTACCGTCGTCTCCACTTTGGGCACTGTCCTAGGTTTTATTTGTTTTATCTACATATCGACCTGTGAGTTCACTACTGACCGTTCTCATACGTGCAAATGCAATGCAACCAGCCTTATTATTGTATCCCTTTTTTGACATAACCTCGTACATGTATTTCTCATCATAATCACAAATTGAACAGGCTCGATTTCTACTCGCATGTGTACAATCATGTATTTACTTCCATATGTCGCTAGACTAGCTACATTTCACCTGCTTATGTTCACCAA